TATCGGCAACCGTTGTTTCTTCAGTCCTCGAGCCTCGCGGCGTCTTCGCCTGGCTCGGAGGACGCTTCGGGTCGCGGAAGACGTGCTTGTCGGACTCGCCCTGGCAGCAGCTGTCCTCCGCTCGTCCGCGGTGTCCGTCGACTCCGTCCCGGCGGCTCCTTTGCGGCAGCTCAGGACTGATCCACCTCGGCAGCTCTCTCTCTCTCTCTCTCCCCGTTCTCCTCGTTAGCAGGGGTATTCGGCTAAAACATGCCTCCTTAAAACGGATTCAACTGTCGGTCCTTACTTGCTAATAATAATAAGGAAGCGATTCACCTGAGATTTTTGGTCCGTCCGATGCTCCTGAGCCTGACTGCTCTCTCCCTCGGCGGCAGCAGATCCTCCCTGAAGTCCTCTTCTTCCTGACCCGACCTCTCGTCACCCGCACTCTTATTTTATACACAAAATTCGGGCCACGCAGGCTCGCGTCCTATTCGCCTTACCGTTAGGACGCGACATCCACCTGCAGCCGGGAAGCCCGCTTTCGGCTTCCTCACGACTTTCCGAGTGACGGACGATAACAAAAAATCGTCACGTCACAATTCGTAGGTTCCTTATAATCGCCTGATAGCTTATTCTGATTAACTGGTGATTTTTTTAAGTTCCTCTTAGTAACTTCAACATATGTTTTAAATGGCGTAACATCTTCTGCTTCAGCGAATGTTTTAGTTTTTTGTTAGACTCTTTGTACTACCGTTGCTCTTGTCATTTGCAGTGATGCCATTTTACTCTTATAGACAGCACAATCTCTCCAATTTGCCGTATGGGCTTCCCCGCAGTTGGCACACCTGCATGCTTCTTCTTTTGGCTTTTTACTTTTCACTCCATAGAATGATGATTTCCACCACATTTAACACACCTTGCCTGTCTTTGGCAATAGTTTTGTGTGTGTCCAAAACTTTGATATCTTTTACATTGTGGTATGTCTTGTGACCGCGATTCGTTAGCTATACGCGAGAATACGGACAAACTTCGTCTCCGCCGTTGCGGCGACGGCCGAGCTTGCCGGCAGCTCTCACAAAAAAAGATATCTGACTCGGTAGAGCGGCGGGGTTCGGGTGTCGACACGCGACCTTCCTTCGTGCGACATGGGAGGAACAAGCGCCAGAATCGGAGGAATCATCAATAACCACACATGCCGTTTAACAGTAACGCTGTATTTAACAACAAAAAAAAGAAACAACGAAAGAATAAGGCGGGTCTCCGAGTCGCGTAGCAGCGAGGCGGTGCGGCAGCCGGATCCGTGGTCGAGGATCCGTCTACCTCGCGGAGTTCGGGCGGCGTGAGGTTCGCGAAATTCGGTCGTCGTATCTTAATTACGGAGTTGGGCGCCAGCCGGGTATATCCCGGCCCTAGTCATCGTGTCGCGAACCGCGTATCTTCCGTCGCTCTCGGAGACCCGCACTCCCAAATAATGATCGCGAGTAATTACAATAATCGCGCAGTCGCTCGCCGTCCTGTGCGGTGGCGAACGCGGTGAAATGGCAGCAGGCAACGCGGGAAGGACGGCTACTCTCTCGTGGGCCCTCGAGTCTTAGCCCGCAGTCGCGGGCGCGTACGGTTCGTCAAGGGCGGCGAAGAATCCTTCCGATTGTCGTCGGGGAGTGACAGCAACCATCCCGGTCTTTAGGTACCCGGGTGCTGAACGACAGGGGGAGGACGGTTCACCAAATTTTCCCCTCACTGAGCTTGCTCCCGTTCTCGTCCTCGCTCTCGGTCGCCTCCTCGCCGAGCTGGGTCGCCGCTTGGTCGCTCGCTCGTTCGTTCGCTCGCTCGTTCTCTCGTTCGTTCGTTCGCACAGGAATCGCGGGGTTCGCCGAAGAGCTCGCGTCGCTCGCTATCCGCACAGTGACGAATTTTCCGCGATCGCGAGACTCCTTCGGCTCGCGGTCTTAGCCGCCGATCGCCGCTAGGTCCTATTGGTCCTGCGGAAGTGTACGGCTCTAGCGCGGGCGCCTTACAGAGCCCGCGCGACACCGCCGAATTCTCTATTTCTTGACGACGGGATCCTGTGCCCGACGGCATCCTTGACTTGCGTGGTCGCACAGGTAGCTGCCGGAAGTCCTTGGTGCCCCAGGGCATCCCCCGGGATCTGGTCCTTAATGTCCAGCCCTTCCTTGCGACCCGCAGCAAGTTAGTCGGGGCCCCCTTCGCTTATGTTAGCGAGAGGAGGATCCTGCCTCGTTTGGCTCGTCGCTCACTCCAGGCCCGCCATCGCTCCATGTCGATAGCGATACCCTGTCGCACTCGTCGTACGCCGAACCCACAAATAGAACAAAAATTATAAAACGCGCCATCTCGCATGCAAAGGCGTGCGAGACCAAAGTCTTCGCCACCGCCTTTCCCGCGGGAGAAGGGGGCGCGAGCACAGCTCTCCTCGTCTCCCAATTTCCCAGGTACTAATTTGGTGACGGCGAAACCACCACGTCACAGTCTTTTTTATTCTAGGCGGTTTGATTTTTATCTTGCAATGAAATATATTTTTGTCATATACTTCTTTATTGGTTGTATTTGTAATTAAATCATCTAAAACAACGGGAACCCTTGTTAGCTTTCTTTTGTTTTTCTTTTTGATGACATTTGTTATTCTAATGACTTCATGTCCTAATCTTGTTAGTTCTTTTTCGATATTCGATGTATTCGTTGTTGGATGTACTCCTTTTATTACTATTTTATATAGTTTTGATTGCTCACACTGGTATGTGTGATAATCCATGCCGTTTAAATCGTGTTTCTTTTGTGTCTTTATTGTTTTTAATAAATTCATTATAGTTCAGTAATTGTCGCTTTTATCTGTGTTGATTTTAACTTCACCATTTGCAAGCATTTTGAAGCTAGTACCATCTTTAGTTTTTTGCAGTATCGCTTCTTTAAGTATGTTAAAATATTTGACTTCACTAATAAATATTGGCGGAGGCATATTTGCTTTCATTATAGCTACTCTTGTCCTTCACTTGTGTTATTTGTGCTTGTTGTTTTTGTTGTTCCAATTGTTCAGGAGATACCTCCGGTGACATGTTAGCTTTTCGTTTTTTTCTTCTTCTCACTACACTCCATTCCCTTCCTTCCGTTTCTCTCTCCAACTCTTTCTCATCTGTTTCGTATTCTATTTGTTTAACTTGTTTGTCTCGTGGCAATGATTCAATTATTGCTTCCAACTGTTTGATTTTGTCTTCTGCTTGTTTCTATGCGTTCCACAAAATCGCTTCATTTTGCGTTTGAGATTTATATTCATACGCCGATGTGATTAGCTCCTGCAATAAATGGTCCTTCCCAGAATCCGTAGGACCAGCTTTATTTGAGGGTGGATTGCCCAGCATGTTGTCTGGAATACTACCTGAGATAATAAATCCTTTTGTTTTGTTCATTGATTACACCCACATTTCATCAGCTATTCTGGTGGACCGATGTTTTCTGTTAGGGTTGACTCCCTTAGCTGGATTGCTTTCGCTTTTAGGCGCCAGAGTTTCGCCTTTCGCCTTACATCTGTCTGCTATGACCAAAGGTAACATTGCTCAGGGTTCGCGACAACGGACGCTAGATGTTTGGACTGCTGATTTACTTGATGTTTTGCAGCGTGGCATTTCACCGCTCTTTATAAATACGTATCTTCCAGCAAGACACGCACCACCGCAACCTTACCAGCCTTTTGAACCCCGGAAATAGCGGTTGAAAAAATTCCCATACCAATATGATATAGTGTATGAGTGTGTGAGTGTATGAGTGTGTGTGCGTTTGTGTGTGTGTGCTAAAATGGCATGCGCATGTGACAGTAACATGTTTTGAACGAAAAACAAGGAAAAAATCTCAGATTTGAATCAAGAGCGACATAGCGGGTCTGAGCAAGTCGCCATTTTTAATTTATACAATTTTATGAATCGCATATGGTTCATCAATATATCATTTAATACTTATGTGCATTTGTGTCAATATAAATATTCCTTTGAATAAATTTAATGACGTAATTATGATGCGGAAAAAATTTTCACGTTTTGGCCGCCATTTTTGGCCCACCATCTTGAATTAAAAAAAAATATATTTCTTCTAAAGGCTTATATATCCTTGCCGTGATATTTTCACTTTCCAGAGCCTGTCTTGAGAAGTTTCAATCGAAATTAATTCAATGAAAGAAAAATGAAAAATTTTCAAATTTTTCGAAAAAAAGTATGTAAAAAAGTTGTATTTTTTGTATTGCATTTTTGAATGATTTGCTTTGCGGCATCTGAAAAAAACGACCCAAAAAGCATTAGAGATGACATTTGCGTAATTTTTTCGACCCCTATTTCTTATTCAGAAAATAATGTATAGAGCGTGTACATTTTGGCGTTAAAAGATTAAAAAGCAAAGATTATTTTTTATTAATCTGTATGTTAACATTTTAAAATTTACCTGAATTTTTGTTGCAGTGAATTCAGAAGAAAACGCACATTTGAAGGGTAATAAACTAAAATCAGAATCTGTATGTTAACATTTTAAATTTTACCTGGATTTTTGTTGCAGTGAATTTAGAAGAAAACGAACGCTTGAAGAATAATAAAATAAAATCTAAATCTATGAAACTAAATCTAGAATCTGAAACGCAGTTAGAACCAAAAGCTGGTAAGTGAAATACCTTTACGAAAAAGATACGAAAAAACCTTCAATTTTGGGTATTAACACTCAAATTTAGGTGTTTATCTCCAGTTTTTGGGTGTTTACACTCAAAATTGAGGGTTTTTTTGTATAGGTATATATGTACCTATATCCAGATAGCACGATGAATTCTTTAAGTGTTTCTAAATTTTTCTTCTTTCCTGAATTGTACTTTTTTAGGAATTCATGGAAGAATACTATAAGAATGATTTAGGAAATTACATGCACCATGATTGGAGTTCCTCAGAACTTCTTAGAGTATTCATATAGAATTACTTCAACTCAAAAAGATTTCTTCGGATTTAATTTTATTGCATCCATACGAAAGAAAGATGAGAAACTTTGGTCGGGTGTGCTTGTATCTGTAGATGTCCACTTTTAATGCCGTATGAGATGAAAAACATTAGACTCAGTTGACAAGTAACACTACCCAAATGTAAATCACCGATTTTGATAATTTTTGAATATGTTGTAGTAGACGTAAAAATAAGACATACGTATTTTTTTTTATCGGCGGAAAACCATATTTACACCCCTTTGGATTTATGGGTATCGATTTAATTGTTTTGTATGTATGGATTTAGTATTTTCGGAACCAAATAAAATAGTTGCATCATCAAGAGATATGAAAAATGAAAAATTTTCGACTCGGTTCGATCATTTTTAAGGGGTAAACCACCCCCTGTATTTGAAACAAAAATTAAAAAAAATGCCCAGATAATTGCAAATTTTATTCAAAAATTTTGAAAAAAATATATGTTACACTCGCATCCAAAACAAAAGTGAGACTGTTTGAGGATTTAAGGGTGACCACCCTTTTATCGAATTTCTTACGTAACATTTAAATTTATCCCGAAATAATGGTAAACAGTTTCATTTATCGTCAAATTAATTAATATTAACAAATTAGACTGATCAACCCTTCAATTCTATAAGGGGGTGAGGGAAAACCTACCCTTAATAAGAGTAAGAAACCAGGATCGTGGCCCTTAGCATTACCCAGGATCACGACGGGGACGTGGCCGCGTGGATCCCATTTTATTTTATTTTTTTTGGTTTTTTGG